GTCCACATCTGCGTGGACTGCAACTGGACCAGATACACTCGGACATCCAATATTTTGAATGTATCAGGATAACAGGACCCTCCATACACATTTACGTTGTTGTGGAGTGGAGCAAGGCCTGGATATCCTACCCCTTAATGTTCCGGAATCTGGCCGAAGTTTTCATTCGGGCCGGCAGATGAAGGCGATCGAGGGAGGGGGAGCCCGCAGAGCGGCACGCGTACCGAATTGTTCACAGCGCGCCAAGAAACGAAGGAGCGCGCCCACGGGGCCGAGCGGCGGCGGGCGTTGATGAAAGGGTATATCTGGAAGCGCCCGCCGTCGGATAGGAAGGACGCCCCCTTTTTTTTTGTTTAATTTGCAAATCACATTTTTAATTTTTTTTTGTTTTTGTAACTGCGTTTTTATTTTTATTTTTTCAGTTTCTAACTTCGAGTTTCCTTTTTTTTTTGTGGCGTTTTTTTTTCAGTTCTGGGCGGGAAGAAAACGACAAGTCCAAAAGAGAATAGAAGTCATGTGGCCACGCCTGCCCACACACACACACTAATATATATATGTTAGTATTGAAGCTTGCCGATAGTGGTTGTGGTTGGGTTGGGGTTTGAACCCACATATAAATTTCGAATACCCAATTACCCGAAGAGATAACCACTGAGGTGAACTGGGTCCCTGTTTGCTTTTGGGGGCTGCTTTCTTTTGAAGTGTATCCGACGTCAGGCAACTGGCACGTCAGGATGTGTCTGTGTGTGCAAACCCTAATATTGGGTCTCCAATTTATTTCGTGGTTTAAATGGAAAAAAAAAAAAATAATATTTTTGCTAAAAAGATCAGAAGCAAATTTACGGACCCTCCAATTTTCAAGTCCTTGGAGCATTCTTCGGAGCGCGAAAAATCGCTGAAGTCGGAGTACTTTTCCCGTTGGCCCAGAAATGGTAGAGTGGCAAAACTAGAACGTGCACCGAATCAGCGCGGCAATTGTTTTGAGGTCAAAATGATTTTTTACAATTTTTATGATATTTTTCCTCGAAAGATAACGAGCAAATCTACGGACCCTCTAATCTTCAGAGTTTTCTGAGAATTGTTTCAACAACGAAAAATCGCCAAAGTCACCGCTGTCAAAATTGCGGGACTAGGCCTGTCGTTTCGGCCTCCAGTTGCCGCCCTCCCTATTACCATTCAAGGAAGGGGGGACCGTTGGATATCAAGAAAATGTCATTTTGTGCCCTGCCATTTTTTTTATTTTTTTTTCGGATTTTTTTTTCAAAAAGAAAAATAAATAAATAATAATTTATGGTTTTGTTTCTTTTGTTTCTTTTTTTTTCCGATAATCGATTTTAATTTTATTTTGTTTTGGTAATCCAATATATTTCAGTTTTTACTTTTTTTTTTTTGGGTAATCGAATATATTTTAATTTTTTGGTAAGGCACGCAAGTGGCATTCAGGAGGTCGTGAGTTCAATCCCCATTGGCCTCATGTACCTTCATGGGCATGCTTGGCGCCCGCCACCTAGAGATAGTCTGTTGGTCCCCCCAATTGGAATTAAAAAAGCAGTCTTTGTTGATGTTCATAGGGGGAGGGGTAATCGGGGAGGCACAGCGACTGGCCACTAAGATGATGCTCGGTCCCTCTGCTACCAACTATTCTCTGGCCGGTGTCCCTCATTGGGGGTTCCCTGAAGGCAATCAAGGCCACCCTGGGCTGAAAAGGTCACCCGATGTCAAATTAGATAAAATATTGAATTTACCTGGGCTGGTTAGTCCGATGATAATACCTCAAGGTCATCGCCCTTTTAATATATATATATATATATATCGTCACAAACAGAACTGCCCGGTAAAACCGTAGGCAGAGAGAGAGAAGAGGACAACAAATGAGGGGCTGTGACAAACTGTTTCGTCGGAGTTTCACCGACTCATCAGGAGGCTGAACCCTCAACAGTC